GGCACGTTCTGCGTGGAGCACTGGATGTTATGCACAAACAATGAATCATGGAACACTACATCAAAAACTAATGATGTAATGTATGGTGATTAACACAACAATAAAAAAAATTTAAAGGGAAAAAAACTAAAAAAAAATGTGTTCAGTTGGACTGTGGAAATGGTGACTAGGAATGTATATCATATATTCAGAAAGGTTTTACTGAGCAGAAACTCTGGGTCATTCAGTCTGCAGGAGCCCAGATACAAAGATGACTTAAACAATATCCCTGCCCTTCAAAGGGGCTTACAGTCTACTAAGACAGGCATCTAACTCTAATACAATGTAACAAGTACTATAATAGAGGTATAGTGCTGGGGAATCATAAACAAGGGCTAACTAGGGCAATAAAAAACACTAAGAAGGAATCGTGTTGAAAATATTAATAAGCAGCTAGAGACCAGAGAATAGCTAGAAATCTAATAGCAATATCTGGTGGGAACACAGCTAAGATTAAGACCAGATACCAGTGAAATTTCCATTAATTAAGAATGGAAAATCAATAGGAGGAACCAGACACAAAGTGACCAGAAAGTAAGACTGAAGTAGAAGTGGTAAATACCAAATGAGGATAAAAATCAAGTCATGCAAAACAGGTCCCCGAAGTACAAAATAGGTCAGCACAACTATTTATGTAGCAACTGCCCTAACAGTCAGTCTAAAGGCCTAACAGTATTTTGAAGTTAGCTAAATTTCCAGTTCCACTTGGGCTTTCTCTGCTCATGCTGAGGAACAATAGTTTTTAATGCCATTTCTACCTTGAATTCTGCCCCAAGAATGTACCAAAGCAGAGGGTAGGTTGATTACCAGTGATGAAAAGCCACTATAAGTTACAGAGTATAGAAGAGGGAAACCAGATCCCAGGTTTGATCTTTGGACCCAGTCTAACAAGAATCCAAGTCAGCTATGTAGATGTTGAGTTGAAAATTTGTATGGATGATAAATTTCTTCATCTCTTTGACTAATACACGATGGCAGGGTGAACAGAAAGGCACGTATGAAAAATATTCTGATCGCTTCTCGGCCTTTTGGCTAAGATCAAGTGAAAAATATTCTGGAAGACTGGAAGATGCAGGCAGTCATAAGATTTGCTTTGGAGTCTTAAAAGACCAATGAACTTTCTCGGTGGTCCAATCTTTTAGATGATCAGGTTGAAAGAACAGGTGGATACATAAACCAAATTTCCACTGTGGAATGAGTCCCATGACACTGTATTATGTTATTCATATTTCATCTCGGATTGATGAACCAATGGCATTTTGGGCCAGTGTATCTGGGAAATATGGCTAAAGAATTTTAAAGAATATATTAAAGACTCCCATAATTGTTTTAATAGTGAGGAATCTCTGAAATGAAAGGTAAGTTGGGACCTGAGAGAATTTGATTTGAAAGCATACGGTGACAGAAAACAGCCTTTCATTTTAGCTGTTTTATAAAATGGATTTAGAGACGACTCCCAGGGAGATGGGAGTATCAACCACACAGCTCCCAGATAGATGCATGGAAGTTGCTATAACCTATTGATACTGCTGTTTACAACAGCTTTGTTGTGGGGACTTAAATTAGAAATAGTATGTAATATTTTACTTTATTCAAGGAGTACAACCTTCCTAGCTATTATAACTTTAAACAGAGGAGTGGGTGACATGGTAAGGGACCTATGATCAAAAAGTAAGAGTAGGTCATGAAAGGATGAAGTAGTCCACAAAATTATAACATTAGTATGACTCTAAAGTGTGGAGTTGCTGATGTCTGATCAGGACTGAACTGTTACCAAATGCTTTTCCACATTTATTACATTTAAAGGGCTTCTCTCCAGTATGAATTCTCTGATGCTGAATAAGGTGAGTGCTCTGGCTAAAAGATTTACCACATTCATTGCACTCATAGGGTTTCTCTCCAGTATGAATTCGCTGATGTTTAGTAAGGGATGAGTTTTCAGGGAAGCCTTTCCCACATTCACGGCATGTATAGGGTTTTTCTCCGGTGTGAATCCTTTGATGTTGTGTAAAAGTTGAGTGGGCAGTGAAAGCTTTTCCACATTCATTACATTTATAAGGCTTTTCCCCAGTATGAGTTCTCTGATGCTGGGTAAGGTGTGTACTTCTTCGGAATGCCTTCCCACAATCCTTACACTTATAGGGTTTCACTCCAGTGTGAATTCTCTGATGTTGTGTAAGAGATGAGGTATCAGTGAAGGACTTCCCACAAACAATACATGCATAGGACTTCTCTCCACTATGAATTCTTTGATGTTGAATAAAAGATGAGTAGTCACTGAAGGCTTTCCCACATTCATCACATTTATAAGGTTTCTCCCCACTATGAATTCTCCGGTGTTGAGTAAGAGATGAATTTACACTGAACGCTCTTCCACAGACTTTACATTTATAGGGTTTTTCTCCAGTATGAGTTCTCTGATGTTCAGTAAGAGATGAACTCTGACTAAATGCTTTTCCACAGTCATCACATTTATAAGGTTTCTCACCAGTATGAATTCTCTGATGACGAAAAAAGTTTGAACGGTCACTGAAATTTTTTCCACATTCACTACAATTGTGAGTTTTCTTTTTAGAATTTCTTTGTCTTTTAATTGAAGATAAGTTCCATTTGACACTCTTCCCAAATGGATCAAATATAAGTGGTTTTTCTTCTAAATGAGTAATATGCTGTGGAGTAAGTTTAGACCTTAGACCAAAACTTCTCTCAAATTCACTGAAATTATGCCCAATTTCCTGAAAGGCTAATTCTTCATGGGCAACTACCACTTGCTGAAAAACAGTATTCTGAGCAAGACACTTTTTTGAAATTCTGCCTACAGACTCTTCCCTTTGCTTTTCTACTTTGGCCCCACATTCACAGGCTTCTTCAAATAAATATTCTTGGGACACATCCCTTCTGAGCCTTTCCATGATGACAGGGATGGAGCTACTCAAAAGTATATTCTAATGGTCTTCTCTGTGGTAACTGCTCTGGCCTTCAAATCTGAAAAGAATAAAAATTATAATAACATATTGTCTGTGTTGGGATAAGGGAAACAACACACAGGAGAAAGAAAACAACTTTACTAAAATTAATGCATATTAGTATACACACTCTCACAAGCGGAGAAAATAATAAGAGTCAGTGGAGTAGAGATGAGTAGAGGTAGGAAAGAGGCTGGCCCACTGGAATTGTTACAAAGACTCTTAAACCTGGAAAAAATGCTTTAAAGATGTAAAGGTTTAACCTCATTTTAAAGATGAACAAGTTTAGAACTAGAGAGATTATGTGATTAACCTAAATATACAGAAATTATTATTTTTTTAAATACAGAGATTATTAATAGGATAGTGAGAAACAGAACTTAGGCTTTGTCCACTATACCACAAGAGTAATCTAGAGGCTAAACAGAGCTTAATGACAGAATGGACAAGGACCCAGTCCTAATGAAAGTGACACATAGCATTATCAGAAAAATGAGCAACAAGAAAAAAATGGCAGAGTAACAGGCCATAGAGAGAAGCTATGAGGAATGTAAAAAACAGCACCTGGAAAAGCAATGTAGAAAGGAGCAACCAACGAATAGGTCAAAAAGCTGAATAGCGGAACTTAAGGCTTTAAGGAGAGCTCCTTGGACAACACTGTAGAGATTCCACTCCTCCTAAACAATCACCCCTAAGTTGCACATACAGATTTATCCCTCCCCTAAATGAGTGCCTCTGGAGACCTCAATATCTCACAGGATCTCCAAAATACCTTCCTGGGCAAAGACTAATTTTAGAAACTGAGAATTGTGCTCATGGGAGGGGGGTGGAATATACAACAAAGTCAATACTGTCATTACTTAAATGTAATATTTTGACATTTCTAAAGCACCAATACTACTAACTTTTAAAGCATTTAATCTGAGTCTCCCAACAGTCCTTACGTTGGAGGACAAAGACTTACTGAATCCTCCAGACAGCAGAGAAGACAAAATAGAGACCAGAGAAGACACACAGGGAGACTTGGAGAGAGATGTTATCAGAGTGGCTGCGAAAAGCAGGGCGGTATTACAAAGGGGATCTCAGATCAGAGTCAACGTTTGGGTAGAAATACTAAGGAGAGGGAGATGTTCTGGTACAAAGAAATGCTGAGGGAAGGCAATGCAGAATTGCTCCCCTTTCCTTTTTAACAAACAGAAGAAACCTCTGAGAATCGCAAACGAACGGTCACTTAAACTGTGGAAGCCAATACTTTGCTTCCTTAACTAAACAAAGATCTACCTACTCAAATTTTCAGCAAGTGTCAAGAAAACCTTGCAAAGGTGTAGGTTACAGGGTTAAGGAGAAAGGGAAGTCTCCACCAGCCCTCCACAGACACAACGGCTTCAAGTCAAATTAGGGGTCTCCAAGCAAACGTTTTAGCAGAGACTCGCCAGCTAGGGGCCGCGGGGCGCAGGCCCTAGATTTAAACCGGCCCGCTGCACCCAAGCTGCTGCCGCAGACAGCACAGACGCCGGCTCCGTTCAGGTTCCCTTTGAGCAGTTCTTTTCTTGGCATTCCTTTCTCCTTCCGCCTCCCCTCTGCCTCTGCGCTGGGGGTGCTGCGGCCCTTCACGGCCTCCGGGGGTGGCGGGGGGTCCCGTTCCCGTCAGGCCACAGCTCGGAGAGCCCGCGGCTCCTGGCCAGAGCGCAGGTACGAGAGCAGGGCCGGGCTCCCTGCGCCGCGTCCCCATGCCGCACCGACCTCACGAGAATCCGGGCTCCAGGCAGCCTTCCCGGGACGGCGGCGACCAACGCGCAACCCCCAGGACACTCGACCGCGGCCTATCCGAAAGCAGCCGACGACAAACCGCCACTCCCAGAATGCCTCGGGGTGCGTCGCTTCCGCTTCCGTTCTCAAGGACTTTCCTTTTCCCCGAAGTCCCCGGGAAATCTCGGCCTCTCTGTACCCCTCCCGCGGCGCTAAACGGAAGAGGTGGGGCCCGAGGTGTCTCAGCCAATCAGGGCCGCACGCCGGAATCTCCATGGTAACCACCGCAGCCGCCGGCTACTTTCCGCCCCGCCGGTAGGCGTTGCGGAAGCTCGGGTCCCGGGTTCGCGCTGCCCGCCGCGTTCTGATTCTGAACACAGGTGTTCGCAGGCCGCAGCCTCGCCGCGCCGGACCGCACACGCCCTGGGGAGGAAGGACAGTGTAAGAAACGTACAGACACTAGAGGACTCAGCGGTCCTTTGGTAAAAAGACAATTTGAGACAATCGGGCACACTAGATAACACTAAGGAATTATTGTGAGTGCACGTCGCTCGTGACGTTTCTCAGCAGACACTGCAAAAGCCATCTAGAGGTCGGCTGTGCGTGTATCATAAATACACAGCTTGGTGAATTATATCAAAATGAACATGCCTATATTAACTACCACCTGAATAAAAAAATGGAATATATTACCATCACTCCAAAAGACCTCTTCCTAATTACACTCCAATCCAAGGTAACCACCATTCTGCCTTCCAACTCTATGGGTTCATTTCGCCTGCTTTTGAACTTTGTTGAGATGGAATCAGAATCTAACATGCTTTTTTTTTTGCGTTTGACTTCTTTCACTCAACACAACTATTAGGACTCATCCATGTTGTTGCATATATCAGTAGTTGGTCCTTTGTATTGCAGAGCTGTGTTCTATTGTAAAAATATGCCACAATATTTTTAAGCATTTTATGTTGGTGGACATTTGGATGATAGATTTTTGGTTTTTCCAAGTAGTGATGGCTTGAACATTCTTTTTTTTTTTTTAAATATTTTATTTATTTATTTAAGAGAGAGAGAATGAGAGAGAAAGCAAGCACGAGAGGGAGGAAGGGTCAGAGGGAGAAGCAGACTCCCTGCTGAGCAGGGAGCCCGATGTGGGACTCAATCCTGGGACTCCAGGATCATGACCTGAGCTAAAGGCAGTCACTTAACCAACTGAGCCACTCAGGTGCCCCCTGCCTTGAACATTCTTGAACATGCTTTTGGGTGTACATATGTAAGCATTTTCACTGGGCATATACCTAGGAGTGGAGTTGCTGGATGATAGGATATGCCTTCTCACTAACACTTGGGCTTCTCAGTCTTCCCAATATTAGTCATACTGAGCAGTGTGTAATGCTATATCATTTGGGTTTTTATTTTCATTTCCCTGATAACAAATAAAACAACACTTTTTCATGTATTTATTGGCCATTTGGATTTCCTACTTGATTTATAGGAGTTCTTTATATATTCTGGATATGAGCTCTATCATTTGCTTTGCAAATATTTTTTCCCATAATGTGACTTGATTTTTCACTGTCCAAATGGTGTGTTTTGGTGGGTTAGAGTTCTCAGTTTTAATGGAATCTATTGATTAATCTTTTACTTTATGGGTAGTGATTTCTGTGCCCTATATAAGACATCTTTTTCTAACCCAAGGTGATGAAGATTTTATCCTATAGCATCTATTAGAAGTTTCATTGTTTTACCCTTTACATTTAGATTTTAAATCCCACTAAAAATAACTTTTTTGTGCATATGTTGTGAGGTGAAGATCAGGTTTCTTTGTGGAAATACAACTTACCTAGGATTATATGTTAGAATATTAATCTTTCCAACATGGTTCTGCAATGCCATCTTTGTCACAAGGCAGGTGACTTGATTCTGTCTCACTGGTCTCTTTCAGGAGTCAGCAAAATTTTTCTGGGCCAGATGTGAACTATTTCAGACTTTGCAGACCACACAATCTCTATCACAACTACTGCACTCTGCCATCGTAGCATGAAAGGAGCCATAGAAAGTACATAAACAAATGGACATGGCTGTGTTCCATCCAGGAAGACTTTAGTTATGACCACTGACATTTGAATGTCATATAATTTTCTTGTGTCATGAAATATTCTTCTTATTATTTTCAACCATTTAAAAATGTAAAAACCATTCTTAGTCTATGAGCCACAGAAAGGCAGAGAGTAGGCCAGACTCAGTCCATGGGCAGGCCAATGTTTACTGACCTCTGGTCTCTTTATTTCTCCATCTTAATCAGGCTTTACTGTAAGTCCTGATATCTGATAGGATAATTTATCTAATTCTTGTTCCTTTTAAAACATATCTTGGCCTTTCTTAGCCCTTTGCCTTTCCACATGCATGTTTAGAATTAGTTTGCTGATTTACACCCCCAAAAAAGCCTACCATAATTTTAATGAGGTAACTAGGGCTGAAAGAGGAATTTGGGGAGAAATGAGATGCTTGAAAGCTGGTTTTCAGAAGGGATTGCAATGCAATATATCCCATTTTATAATCTCACAAAACCTTCTGTCAAATGTAAAAACCACCTGGACCCTTAGAGATGAGTTCACTTTAAGGCTAAGAGGAGGACAGGGGCTGGGGGTAGGGGTGGGGGAGCAGAACCATGTTCTGACTGTGTGCAGGGGAAGGACACAGAGATCACTGTCCACTTTGCTGCAGGGTTGGGGGTTACCCTGGATGGTGTCAGCCACAGTGTGGGTGGGAGTGTTCCTCTCTCGTGTACCACAAGTCATGCTCAGTGTGGCAAATACTTCTCCTCTCTGATGGTGGAGAAGCAGAAACTGATGGAGAGGGAGCTGGAGTTATTGGCCCTACCGGCCCTCTGGGCCTCTGTAGCCATTCGTTCCTCCAACAGCCTCATAAAATCACATCATTTGAGTCCCCATAGCTCCAAAACGGGTAGGAATGCCAGCAGACATGGTCATCAGTTGTCACCCCTCCCTCCAAATAGCCATACAGATGTCACTGCCTTCACTCCCACCTCTCCATGAACAGGAGCTCTCTCAGCATGGCACCCTAGGCAGGGACACACGACTGGGGCCAATCGTGCACTCACACTGGGGCCCTTCCTCTGTAACCTCTGGCCTGTGGGCAGCCTCCATACCCAGGCAGCACAGCATGGGAAACCAGCCCTCCACCCTCTCCCTGGAAATATATTCTACACTACCATTCACTGCCAAGCAAGGGACAGATGGGGTTCAGAAAAGACTTCAGATTTTGAAGTGAGACCAAATCCCATTTGAATGTTGGTTCTGCACTTCCCTTCTGTGTGACTGTGGCTCCTCAGAAATCTCTGAACTTCGACCTTCTTATCTACAACAGACAGAACAACAATTAACTGGCAACCATGAGGACACACAGATGCCCTGCAGACACTGTGGCAGTGACAGGCCAGCAGGTGCAAGGACCAGGAGCCTCCAGGTCCAGAAGGGTGTCCCAGGACCCTTGAATTTCATGGTGGGGACACACTTTCTGCCATTCTCCCAAACTTCAGTTAAAGTTTGTTGTGTGCTGGACGTGTAGCAGGAGCACAGATGCCCTGGGGTGGGAAGTGGAGGCATGCAGAAGCAGAGTCACAAACCCAGAAAAAAGGGCTCCCAGGGGAGACGCCCCACACCCTACTTTCCGGTGAATTGCTTATAGGACCCAATTACAATGTGGGGGGAATTTCTCCCACACATCCACCAAGCAATTCTCTGTGGTACCATCTGCATGTCCTACAATTTAACTCAATTCTGACACTATCTACCTAGAGATAGTGGTCAGATACCACAGTTTAAGGGCTCGGTCCCACAAGACTGCTCCCACCCTACTCTAGACTCCAATGGCAAGTAGTAGATCCCCAGGTTACCACAAACTTCTGTCTGATTTGCTACAAATCAGAGGTTCCCATAACCCCCCTTGTCAGGTATGATTAATTTGCTAGAGCAGATCACAGAACTTACTTCTTATTTAAGTTAGGAAACACTTAAATTTAGCAGTTTATTTAAGGATATGATACAGGCTATAGATGAATAGCCAGATGAAGAGATACATAGGGCAAGGTCTGGGAGGATCCTGAGCTCAGAAGCTTCTGTCCCTGTGAAGGTGGGACATGTCACCCTCCCAGTGTGGATGTGTTCACCAACATGGAAGCTCTCAGAACACTGTACTTTTAGGATTGTATGGAGGCTTCATCAAGTAGGCATGATTGGTCATTAACTCCATTTTTAGCCTTCTTGAGAGAATGGGGTGGGGGTGGGGCTAAAACTTCCAAGCTTCTAATCATGGCTTGGTCTTTCTGGTGAGCAGCTGCCATCCCAGAGCCACCAAGAATTGCCTCATTAGGAATGAAGGATACTCCTATCCTTCAGGAATTTCTAAGGGATTGAGGACCCCATGGTCAGGAACCAGGGATAGAGACCAACACATATTTTTGTTATTATTTCACACCCACTGACATCGCCCCAACCAGCTCTAACTAGCAGTTCCTGCCTTCTCAACAGCAGGTTGCTCCAGGGCCCTGCCCTGGGCCCCCTCACTTTCCTGGGTTCTATCCAGCCTATGGCTTCATCCACAGGTTAACAACCCCAAACTCTACATCCCTAGGCTGATCTCCCCCCGTGACCTCAGCTCATGGGTCCACTTGCCACTCAACATCTCCACTTGGACATCCATGGGCAGAACTGAGCTCCCAACACTCTCCACAAGCTACTCTTCTGACCTTACATCTCATGGAGGGCATTTTCAGGAGCTTGGGCCACAACCCTGGAGCTACCTGCTCTTTCTCTCCACCCCATGCCCAGTCTATCAGGAAGTCCTGCTAGGTGAGCCCCGATACACATCCCGCTGGATCACTTTGTTCTATCTCCTTCACCACCCAGGGCCCACTTCCCTTTTCCAGGGTGGTCGCAGAAGCCTCTTGCTGGCACCTCAGTCCATTCTCACACAATAGCCAGGGCGATCTGCTCATACTCAAGTCATCCGCTCCCCTTCTGTTCCCACAGTACTCAATGGGGGAGCCAACATGCTCCTGTGGGCCCTCCAGTCCTGCAGAGGCCCCACCACCCCCATCTCCTCTGGCCCCTGGTAAGCCCCTCAGGTTCTGCTGTTCCTTCTGCCTGGGAACCACTCTCCACACATAGCCGCCCGGCTGGCTCTGCTCTTTCAGGCCTTTGCACAAATGCCTACTTCTCAGTAGGGGTTCCAGAGCCTAGGCTGTGTCTGGCACATAGCAGGTGCTCAACAAACATTGGCTGAAGGAGTGAAACTGTGGGTTGGACCAAGGAGACCTCTGTCCCAACAATCCTGGACACCACCATTCACAGGTAATAAGAGCTAAACTCTGCCAATTCAGTCAGTGAAAATGCAGTTTTGTT